TTTTTTTCACTGGAGGCCATGATAATGATTTGGCAACCCGTAAGATTAGTTATAGTTTCACAAGAAAAGAGTGGTTTTGTGAGACCTGTAAAGTGTAGTTCTGCACTTACATATTCATTTCTCCCCAGGTCTGGGAACAGTTAAAAACAAAAAGAGACAAAAAATTCTCAAAATAACTCAAATAATTGTAGGTATCAAATAATTCCATTAAGTCAGAGCTTATTAGGCATCAGCATTGTCCTGTGTATTCTTAGACGCCCTGGATAGCCCCGTTTGTTTGACCAGATGTTAGCTGTCACACAGACACATAAGGTCAGTGCCCCTGTGGGTGCAGAGACGGGGATGAAGGGAGGAAAGCAGGGTGATTGTTTTGGACGACAGAGGGTTGACACCCGATCCGTGTGCCTTGAGCAAATAGGAAGTAAGACTGTGCCTCTGCACCTAACATCCTGTAATCTGATGGAGCGGTTCCTGTCCAGTAACAATGGGATGGTGATAGGAAGGGAGCGGAGTATCTGGCACATTTAATGGACAGTGTGATCGCTGGGTGGGATAGCAGGCTGGACTGGAGCTGGTCTAGAGAGATGTCCCTGGTGACAACAGAGTTGTGGTTTATCACTTTAGGATTCGAGCCAGTACACAAGTGGAATGGGAAGCTTTTATGAAGTCAAATATAGGCTCTCTCTCTCTCTCTCTCTGTTGTTCATTCACTCACACACACACATTAAGAAACCATGACTCCACTATGTCTGACTGACCACCCCCTCAGGGATTTGCCCCCCTGCTCTCCCTCACCAGCAGGTGGTCACACTGTTAGATTTCCTCCTGGGCACAGGAATTTTCATCAATCACAGACAGTGTATGTGTGTTCAAGAGAGGGACAGAGCCAAGTAGAGACACAAAGCTGATGACATTTTCAGGGGTTTTTTTTTTTGGTTCCTCAATATGAGAGAGATGATAATAACTAGAATTTCAGATTGTTCTACAAAAGAGGAAATACAATGTAGTAAATTCTAATTCCTTGTCTCATAAGCAAGAAAAAATATAAATAAATTTTGTTCAACTTCTCAACTGTTTCCTGGAACAGGAAAGCTGTTTCTGAACTGGTGCCAATCATTTCTGCTACAGTGGTGAGAAATTTTGGAGGACTATTGATATGGTTTGAATGAATGAATTGTAGAAATTAGACCTATTTTAAATACAAAATGAATTGAGGAAATTTCAAGTAAAAACAGTCACAGTTAATTTGAAAGAAACACATCCCACATCCTTAATATCGATCCTTTAATGTACTGCATCTGAGAGCTTTATTGATCTGGGGTAAAAAATCATGTAAATACTCTGTCTTCTACATACATGTATGTGAATAATCATGGATGTTTGAACATGATTAGGTGGGGAGGAGGGGTCAAAAAAGGGGGAGGGTTATGTGTTTCTTTGCATCATTTCTCACCAGATTTCACTTTTTTTCCAGCCTTCCCTTAAGCTGCACAAAGTTCATTCAGTCACTTATACAGTGGTAATAATTGTGGAAATAAACAGCTCGTCCCCTCCTGAGTTCTCCTGGAGATTTAGCTTCTCAAAGAGCTGTACAGAGAGTTCAGTCACATTCATATTTGTGGATTAAACTTAGATCTTTCATGAAATCAAACCCCATGTTTGATGCTGTTTATGGATTTCATTTTTCAGCTATATATAATAGTAAAAATATAGATTAAACGCTTACCAATTGAGCATAAAAAAACAATCAACAGGTGATTTAAAAGGTTTTGTTTCCTATTTAAAAAAGCAGTAGTATGTCCTCCAATAAAATAATGAAAAAGGTAAGAAAGGACACCAGGTATAAGTGTGAAATGAAAAATATGATATTATTATATTATAACTTATTATGTGTCCAGGCTCCTCAGTTGTGGAACTGGTGATTCCAGGCAAACTCTTCCTGCTGTAACTACTTAAATTGTTTATTCTTGTTTGTATGTTTGTATTGTAAAACACTGTTAAACTATATTTTTGAAAGGTTTTATTATAACTAATTATAAGAGAGGCACTGTACAACTTACGTGCAGTAGCTAGTTGCAGGTTCCCAGTGAGAGCATGCTACCAAACTCAACCCAAATGACAACACCAGTTCATATACTACTAGTAGTGGATGTAACTGTGTGGGTAGGCAGCAGTAGTGGGGTATTGAACC